TTGTACGCGCAGTTGCATCTGGAGTATATACGCTGAATGGGCTACTTACTAGAACAGTTGTCTTACACACTCGGTGGGAGTTAACCGCGATGGATGTATATTAGCCACCAAGCAGTAGCTGCGATCTCGTCACAGGTACTTGCTGATTGTTTGCACGGTCGCTTCAAATGCGGCATCGAGCTCGGCAAGCTGCAGGGGATCTGACTGAGCGGGATGAAGGCATGTCAACGTCAGGTCCTGGTCCGTACGTCGACAAGTAGTACGTACTGCATTCGCAGGCCGAACAGCAAACCCATGGCAACACCAACATGCTCATAGCGCACATAACCGGCTTCGTAAGGGCCCTGCTCGGCTGTCTCGGGCGCCGTGCCGTTCATCACGCCATCAGCAATGGCCGCTAGCGCAGGGGTGAAGCCGGCTGAATAGTATATCGGTGTTTGTGACTAATGATAAGGGTTATAAGTACGTACTGTCGAGAGAGGCCGAGTGGATCTCAAGTGGCGTCGTTCCCTGCTCTTGCAATAGCAAGAAGTCCGCAGGGACGCTGAACAATGGGTGTAGTCAGAGTAGGCAACTTCTGGCGGTGCGCCAAAGACGTACGACAGACGCGAGGGATGCGCCGTGACGCTGACCGCGACGGTATTGTTTTGCGCTAGGCGTATGGCATATAGACCGCCAAAGCAGTACTATAAGGACAAGCGGGATGAATGAGCGCGCGACAGACCGAGAATCGCACGAGCGAACGTACGCCGGTCGCTGCGAACTTCTTCACACCCCATTTCTTCAGCTCGTCGACTACGGCGAGAAGGGGTGGCGTGGTTTGATCCTCTATGTTCAGGAGATAAGATCATCGCAAAGACTATCATGATGGGGAAATGCGTACCGCCATGACGCGTGAACCATTCTGTGGTGTTGAAGCCTGTTGCGTTGACTGGTACAGGGTCCCCTGCGACCAAAGGGGTAGGTTTACGTGCTCTCAAACAATAAGAAGAGTATGCTTACCATTGAAGTAGTCGATCAAGAACGTAGGGTATCCTTGCTCGGCGAAGCGGTCGGCCTAAAACAGGTCTAAGCGGCTTAATCGGAGATGAAAAGTGGAACTGGATCCTCACCAACAGCTTATTGTTGACCAACGGAAGACCATATATGTCCTGAAACGAGTTAGACTCCCGATTGTCGTGTCCGTTGAGGACGTACGCTCAGGTATAACACCGCCGTCTTCGATCCCTTCTTCGATTTCGCCTTCGACGGCAAAGCGACATACGTATCAACGCCAGCAATCTTGACCACCTTTCCCGCGGGTTCGCCATCGAGGTAGCTGGCGGGGGAGACCGCCTCGTACAGCTGCGTCACACCATCATGCGCAGACGCGCCAGCGACAAGGAGCGCAGCAATGCCAGCCAGGATTTTGAACGAAGATAACATGGTGATTTCGTGGGCGACGAGGGATGGCGTGCACGAGTTAAGAGAGCCTGCGCATATTTATGCGAGTGGTGACGGCGCCGGCATGGAGCTTGGCTCTGAATCAGGCTTCGCGATGTCGAATCATCGATCACGTTGCCAAAGAAGAGCGAATGACGACCCTGCAAATCCCCGAAATTTCAGCTGGAGCATTTGGGTTCCCAGGACGCGGCGACTGTAATCGAGATTGGAGTGCCGATGAACTTGGCGTAGCTGCGGGAAATTCGCAAAGAATTCGTACAAGCACACCCGGACGCTTGTTCCGCCCGCATCAAGCCTCATGAACGAGCAACAGGAGTTGCTTTAAGGCGCAAGTTACGCAGTATCCGACTCGTGGATTCGACAATCATGAGAACAAGGAGCATGAGCGCCCAGCGGACTTCTAACAATTGCCCGATGGTCGACTTGGTCAACAAGATTCTCACCGTCCACGCATAGAGCCTTGGCCCACCTATCTAGTTTCAAGGGTAAAATAAAGTCTAGTATTTGTGGATAAAAGGGCTGTACAGTGTGCATCTGGCTCGTAAGGCATTCGGAGCCGCAGCCTGAAATTGTCAAGCACGAGGACCTACACTTACCTTTCGGCTCACAGTACGGCAGCATTTTTCTGCTCTGTTCGTGGTGAGCAACATGCGTCGTCGTCGTCGCCGAGCCCCTTCACATAACTGCGGTTAATGGGTGCAATCTGCAGCCATGCCGGCTGTGAATATTTCCAAGTCATATATGTGAGACGAGGGGACCCACGCCGACTGCCGGACAAGGTAGTAGCTCTAGAAAAATTTCAACCTTTACTTCATTCGTTGCACTATCTCCCTGTTTGTTGGCGGCTGGGCTGTCCGCGCCGCTTCTAGTAAGAGATGCTGCTAACCATGAAGCAAGCACGTAAACGTCAAATGAACGATGTTCAGCAGATCAAACCAATAGCTCGTTTTGATGCACACCGTAGCTTCCTGCCAAAGCCACAGCCGAGGTACAGTACTTGCTGTAGCGATCGCACTGGCGTTCATCATGGAACTTAGGGCAGAAATCAAGTTAAAATCGGCCACCAAGTATATTTTGTGCGTCTTAGACAGCTCAGACGATACGAGAATGTAGGAGATTAGCCGAATCACAGTGTATATGAGCGATTAGACAGCCACTTGTCAAGTAGGCGACCGTTGCAGTATGTGTGCGATCACAGATAGGTTTTGATGGCCTTGACGGCCGCGTAGAAGGCGGCGTCGAGTTCCGCGACTTCGACAGGGTCAGACTGTAAGAAACGGCGAGAGTCAGTTGAGCTGCGTCCACTCGCGATTTGAAGCAGGAGCTTACGGCATTAGCGGGACGAACGGCAAACCCGTGCGCCATGCCGGCGTGCGCGTAACGCGTATAACCTGGCTTGTAGCGCTTGGTGTTCTCGGTAGTCGTGCCGTTCATCACGCCGTCGGCGACGAGTGCGATTGCGGGCGTGAACCCGGCTGAAAAGGAAAGCACGTCTCAGCAAGGGTGTTCCAACGGAGGAAAAGCATAAACGCACTGTCAAGCTCAGCAGAGTGGATCTGGATGGGGACCTTGCTCTTCGCCTGGAGGGTCTCAAAGTCCTCGGGAACCCTGCAGACAAGATCAGCAATGGTATCAAACTGACTGGCAAGCCCAAGACGCGACATACGTCAGGAACGACGGGTGCGCCGAGACGCTGACGGCGACCGTGTTGTTCTGGGCAAGGCGCATAGCATACAAACCACCGAAGCAGTACTAGAGCGAGCACCGTCAGTCAGCCTATCATCGATACGCAAGCCCATGCTATATGAGGAACCAGCTACGTACCGCAGTTGTCGCAAAGGTCTTGACACCCTGCTTCTTCAGGCCGCCAATGACGGAGAGGATCAACGGAGATGTCACGTCCTCTGGAAGAATACAGTCTGTTTTAGACGTGTGTTGATCGAGATGTATGTGGCCGCGTACCTCCATGGCGAGGAAGCCATTCCGTGAGGTCGATAGTAGTCGCATTGTACGGGATAGGGTCACCTGAATTCATGACACGTATCAGTTCACGCCATGAAATAAAGGGGCAAGGTACACCGCACCGTTCAGGTAGTCTGGCACGTAGACAGGGAGCGACGTCTCCAGCGCGAAGCGGTCAGCCTGAACAGATTGGTCAGCTCCTTCACATCGTCCGTACAGGCTTCATCGGGCTCGTACCAGGAGCTTGTTGTTGGGAAGAGGAAGGCCAAAGATGTCCTGTACATGCAACGAAGTAAGCACGCCAACCAGTATTCATCGTTGGTAACGAGACGCACGGTGAGGAAGAGATCGCCTCCTTGCACCCTTTCTTGATATGGGGCGGGCGCGCGACGTACGTGTCGACGCCGCCGATTTTGACCATTGTGCCAGTCGGCTCGCCCTTCATGAGGCTTCCCGGCGAGACGGGTGCGAATTTCTGCGTGACGCCGTCGTGCGCCGACACGGTCACGGCAAGGCCGGCGAATGCAACGAGGAGTGACTTGAAGCTGAACATCTGGGGATGGGAACGAGCGCGAGGTTGACGTGCGGTGAGAAAATTAGTGTCATTTTGGGATTCACTTTTATACGTGCACGGGGGACGGCCGTGACGAGTTCGCACATTAGTCAGACGATAGAATCCCCATCACTTCTGATCGGTTTCCACCTGAGTAACCGTACGGCGCGTGACGGTTATGTGCGGTGACGGTGTCAGCGGAATTGTATCTGTGCTCCACTGGACATCAACATTGGGATGATGCCGAACAATCTAGTGATCGATCCGGATGACACGCCGGACCCGTTTAAAACCCGTCGATAGCTCCAGCGTGGCGCTGTGACAAGGTGCGCGAAATGTGTTGATGTGCAACATGAGAGGCGGAGGCAGAATGCGTTCACGGAAAAAGCCGTCGATGGACCAGCATCTTCGATTCACCGAGACTGTCATGCAACATGACGTTCGCCGTGGTCTAATCGCTGGTGCCGGCATCTCGATCTGAAATTGCATCAACACGGCTGTGAAGATACGGCATTGGTAAGCCATTGGTAAGCACGCCCGCATTCCATGGCCATTTCTGCGTTTCACAGCTATCAGGAACCTCACATGGGCCGCAGACAAGATTTTAAAATAACATCAGACAGTTGATTCACAGCAATCAAATGGCCTCGAGTCGTCGGCATATCTTGCCGTCTCAGCCACCCACCATCAATGCGATCAACTGCTGCCCAACAAAAAAAGGGCGACTTCATTAATCAACAAACTCTCTGGCTGATAAATCAACAGGCGAGGTCATGCAATTGTATTCTAACTATTCACTTTGACGCTCCATAGTCAGCGCGTCGCTCGCCCGTCATTTTGCTTGAAAGTCCCTTCGTCGGGTTTATTTACGACGGCAGTTTATATTGTACTTGCGATGCCTATATACAAAGAGACTAGTTTGACCCGGTCTTTGAGCCTTTAAGCCAATTGTGCTGAAATAGACGCAAGAGAGAGTCAACCCTCGCGACCGGGCAGGTACGCCGTCTTGGTGCCTAATCGGCGCGCGAAGAAAAAGGAGTTTCGACCAGCGCAGGAATCGAACCCACACTACTCCGGCAATGCGACAACGTTAAATGGAGTGTCATACCATTAGACCAGCCGGTCATGTTGGGATATATAGGAGAGAACAACAAGAAAGCTCTTGTTATTTAGTCCGTACCTTCTAAGGTGGAGCTTTTTAAAAACTTGTAGAGGTATATAGTCCTGTCTACAGTTCCAGGTTAGTCGGGAGATCTCTCGCGCACTGCCTAGTCTTTCACAGACAGTGCAGTGTGGCATGAAATGATGCCGCGCAGTAGCTAGAGACTCGCGGCATCCTTCCTCGAATCTCAACGCAACTCCCCTACTGAGCTTTGGCCGCCTTCAAAGTAGAGGGAGATCATGCAATGACAATTTAAGGTGCAAGTTACTTATTCCGGTCATGTACTTTACGGTCGCATGCGATACTGAGGGAAGCGACACAACGTCCGACCAAATGGCCACAGAGCAGCAAGAAGAGACAAGTAAACACAAACAGATGCTACGATACGATACCGAGAAAACATTAGACATTGCCAAGGTGTGCGAGACTTTTAGGATGATGACTGCGGGTAGGTCGGCGCCAAACGAAGGACACGGAAGTGGCTGGCACTCTTCTCCGCGAAGAAGACATTGTCACCTTCGCGACCGAGAAACAGGACCTCCTCTTGCGAGGCATGCTTGCTTGGCAGAGGGTCGCCGCTCAAATCGTTCTCGAGCGCGAGCATCCAGTCCGGTTTCTCCTTCTTGAGCAGCTTGCCAGCCATACCAGAAGACGACAGGCCGGCTGCGAGATTCGGCGTGCTCTCGCTGCGCAGGGCACCCGTTGGCGGCGGATTGAGCGGTGCGCCGATGCGCCAGACGAACGGGCTGCGGCGGTTGGTCGTGACTGGCGCCGCACTGTACTCCGGCACGAACGCCCGGCTGTCGTCACCAGGGTTGAGCAGTGCATCACCCACGTCAATGGCTTCGAGCGCGGAGCGGCGAAGGGCGACGACGACGGCGCGGTCTTGGACGTCAAAGGCTTCGACGCGGCGCACCTCGCCGGCCTGCGCATTCGGGGCACTCCACATTAGGCGACCCTTAAGCACACTCTTGCCTCGTGCGTCGACAACACTCGTGCTGTGGCCACCACGGCTGCTGAAGAACAGAGCGGGTGGGCCAAAGTGTTTTGGCTGCTTGAGGAGGGATACGGGTGGCAAGAGAGGCTTGGGTTCGGTCGGGATGGTGATAAGTGCGGGTTCGGCTGTCGCTTCCGCTGGAGGTGTTAAAGGCAGCGGTTGAGGCTTGAATGGTTGAGTTGGGTCGACGCTCTGAGCACGAAGATCGCGCAACAAGGTGTACTCGGTTTCGACCTCGCGCCGAACTGGGAGGTCGAGCGGAAGGAAGCCATCTTTGAACCAGCCTTGCATCATTGCCGTCTTGAATGGACCTGCGGATTGAATCGATCAGATCCAAGAGCTGGCACATCAGGTTCTACACTACATACCTTGCACGACGCCTTTGGGATCTTTGTAAAACCAACGCGTGGGCGGCTGACTGGGCGGCGTGGGCAGACCAGGCGGACTGAGACCGCCTGCATCAACAGCTACGCTTGTCGCCAGCGCACTCACGCTCGCAGGAGGCGCAATCGCATCCGACACACTCGACGGGCCCGCAATCGCACCAGCATCCTGCGGCGTCCCCTCCCAGTCCTCTCGGTAGCGCACAAAGTTGGGATAGCTCGGCGGAATGATGCACTCGTCCGCAATCGTGCCGAGTGGGAACGTCGGCGCAAAGTTGAGCTGTTGGAACGTGGTGTAGGGCCCCATCTGGTCCTCCTCTTCCTTCTGCAGCTTCTCTCTCTCACGGTCCCGCTCGCGCTCGCGTTCATCAACAGCCGTGGCGGCGGTACCTGCGGTCACGGTCGAGGTAACAACGGTTTGGGCGGACGCGGGCGCCAGGATGCTGTTTGGGGGCTCGAGCTCTTGCGAAGGCGTTGGTGGTGCTAGGGAGCCAAGATCGTCCGAGTTTTCGACGGCGACGTTGACCTGGACATCCACGTCGTCTTCGGCGCCGGCAGACGCGCCTTCTGCGCGAGCTTGACGAGCGCGGCGTCTTGCACGACGCTCCTGACGACCGATACGGACCTTGAGAGAGATTTCAATAAGAAGCAGGTCCGCGGTGAATACAATAGCACTGACCTCGCGGACCCGAACAGTAGCGGGCTCGAGTCCAAAGACGTTCCCGCCGAAAACCAAGAAAATCTCGACAAGGTCATCGCCCTGCAACTGAAGTTCGAGGCTGAACCCGCACCATCAGCACCAAAAGACACTCCAAATACGAGGGTTTCACTCACTTTCTTGGCGAGTCGGGCAGAATGAACGTGCGACTGAGTCCCAGTGCGGTCTTGTATGTCCCCGCAAACAGCTCGACCTTCTCGCCCTGCTCACCGCACAAGATGGCCAAAAAGCTGCACACAAGCATCAGCACCGGACATTTCCTGACACACACACGCCAAACGTTTCAAACGCACCTTTTGCGCGCCGTCTCGACCGCCTTGACCATCATGGCGCCTTTGGTCCCCGGCAGCTTCACAAACTCCATCTTGGGCGGACCCATACTCGCAACAGACACCTGCGCAACACGCTCGCCCTCTTTGCCATTCACAAGATGCCCGGCAATCTGCACCATCTCGCGTTCGGCCGCGCCGTCCTCGCCTCCATGTCCATGTCCGCCCACCTCCTCGCTCACACCCGCGCTCGACGAACGACCAAACGCAGCGGTGATAATGCGCGGCAGGAACCGGTGCCGTGGCGTGCTGCTGAGCGATGGTGGTGCAGAGGGCGTGTGCTGATGCCCCTGCCCCGGCTCGCGTTGCATGTTGCTGGCACGCGACGGTGAGCCTGGAAGCGGCGACGGGCTGCGGCCGGGTGGTGGGGTGCTCGCCATAGCCGTCGGACTCGAGCTCAGCGCAACGCCGGACGCGGATGCGGAGCGGGCCGTTGCGATACGGTCTTCGCTCCAGCGACGTCCCAGCGAAAGAGGCGCAACGGCCGGATGAGGGGCGAGCCCGCTGAGGGCGGCGGAAGAGTTGAATGGGTTGATCATGGTGGCGGTCGGGTTCAGACCACTGCCAGTCGGGACGGGCGGCGCAGTGGGTCCAGAGCGCGAGCCTAGCGGTGGGGCTTCGGGAATGCGCGACTCCTGCAGCCTACGAAGCGCTTGTCAGCTTCTTGTTCCACGATGAGAGATGAACGAGTAGATGGCACGCACGCCTCGACCAAGCTCATCTGCGGTCTCCTCTTCGGCTTGGTCGACTCGCTCCTCCGCATCTTCGTATCCACACTTGCTGCCGCATCCAAGCTCGGCTCACGCTCCTTGATCTGAGTCTGAGCCTGAGCCTGCACCTGCACCTGAGCCTGAGCCTGAGCCGGGGCCGGCACATCAACGTCCGAATCCACAGTCGCAGCCCTCAAATGCCCGCTAGTCCCGCTCGACCCGTTCATCCTCCGCGCCGACGGCAAAGGATCAAGATCCGTATCCCCATTCGAATCGTCCAGCTCCTCCACATCCGACGGCGCGTCGCTCGCAAAAGCACCGTCCTCCGCGACCTGTGGGATCGACCATTTACATCAGCATCCTCCACTCGATAACAACAAGTGAAAAACGCACCTGAATACCAAAGATACTGCTCCTCCGCCCTGCACTCGGGCGTGCACGCTGTTGGCTCAACGTCTGCTGCAACGACTGCCTAAGCGTCAACAACGTCGGCGCGGGCGCAACGAGCGGGACGAGGGGCGAGAGAGGCGCGTTAGGCGATGCGGGCGTCTCGACGAGCGCGATGGCCGGTGCGAGCAGCGTGTGCACGGGCGAGTCGAGCGAAGTCACGGTCGGCACGGCGTCGGTTACCGATGCGCCTGATGATACGGTGCTCAGGTCGAGGTCGGCGGGACGGGTTTTGCGTTTGCCGGGGGAGAGGGTTGGGGATGTGGGTGGTGCGACGGCGTCGGCGGCGTTGGGTGCACGTACAGTTGTAGGTGAGCCAGGTTGTGCAGTCTGCCTGAGCGTAGCTATACTGCCCGTGCTGGTCGATACTGCCTGTGGCCCACTCGTCGAGCCCGACCCAATCCCAGAGCCAGAACCAGACAAAACATGCAAACTGGGCCGTCCGCCCGCCTCCGACGTCGCCACACTATCGATACTCATGCCCGTACTCCTGTGCGGCACCACCCCTGCACCACAACGCATCAGCAACCTAGCCTCGCAAAAACGGAGCGAAAAACCCACGAACCACCTGATCCACTCCGCCCCGCAGCAGCAGCCGCACTTGTACGCTCATCGAGCGCCGCGCTCCCACCCGGACCAACCGCCACAAGCGCCTCATCGTCGCTCCCGGGATCATCCATCCAGTCGCCGGCCCGCTTCTGCTCGAAAGTGTCCTGCGGCAGCGGCGGTGCATCCTCGCCTGCGTGTGATTTAGGAAAAGGAACAGGAGGAGGAGAATGAGAAAAAACATACCAGGCCCATCATCGGCGACCTTGATCGTGCTAACACTCGTCGCGCGTGCACGCGACTTGCCCAAAGACGCCGAGATAGCAGCCAAAGATTGCTTCGAAGTCGTCGACGACATCTGCTTCGTCGGGGGGTGTCAGTCATCGAAAAAACTTCCTGGTGTCGAACGGAGAAAGAGAGAGGGAGACTCACGGTGGGCACGACCGGCCGCGTGAGACCCAACCCAACGCCACTGACCGCACCAAGACTCTTACTCGCGCCCATCTTTCGCTCCGTAGGGCTCGAGCTCGACGACACGATCGGCCCGTCGTCCGTGGGAGACTTGGGCACGGGGGTATCCACCTTGGCAGCAGCAGCAAGGGCAGCAAGGGGAGCCGGACCCATCGTCGCCGACCGTTGCGGATGTGCATGTGCATGTGCATGTACGTGGCTCGGTACCGGGACAGACGCCACGCTAGACGTCGACGCCGACTGCCCATGCCCGAGTCCGTTAACGGCGGCGGCGCCTGCAGCACGCATACCCTCCGTACTGCGCGCCGCACGCACAGTCTTGGCCATGGTGGCCACCGCCGACCGGCCATCCATCGGCGCCACAAGCGCCGCCGCATAACTCGGTGGCGGACCCGCTGCTGCTGCCGCGGCCGACGGGGTTCCTATCGAAGTCGCAGTCGACGTCGTCGAGGCGGCCGTGAGCGGTGTCTGCAATTTCTTGGTCTTGACCGCCACCACCGCTGAGGACGATGACGGGAGCGGCGGTACCGGCGAGTTCGACCCGCCCAGAGCGAATGTAGACCTCTTGGCACTCGTCGCGCTCCTCGCCGACTTTCTCGCAACGCCATCGACGCGCCACTCGATCATCCTCCTGACCTCCTCAAGCGCATAAACCCTAACCGTGTCCCTCCGTCCCGCAATAGCCACCACGACGCCCCTCTCCTCCATCACGACGACGCTCTTAAACGGGACCCTTCTCACCAACGCCAACAACCCACCGGTTCCCGGACCCGCCAACGGCAAGACGTCCAAGCCATGCGGCGCGCACAAGAGCAGGAAGTGCGGTAGGACAAAGGTTCCGCTGGCCGGTGCGCTCGAGCCGCCGCCGCCGCTGCTTAGGGCGGTCGTCATTGCGCTTAGGGTGAGACCGAGTTCGGCCAGGGTCGGTGGGGGTAGTGCTGGTGGGGGAGGGGGAGGGGGTGGTGGGGGTGTGGATGCACGTTCTTTGCCTTTATCACCGCCGTTGCCGCTGGTACCGTTAAGAGCAGACGTGGACGCATCTATAACAATAAGTTTTTGTCAGGCGGCGGCGGTGGGAAGGGTCGGTAAGTGCTTGCGTACCGCCATTCGATTTAGCTTTCTCGCGCTCGGCACGTCGTTCTTCCCTCTCGCTCTCGCGCGTCCGTCTAGTCGGCTCGTTCGAAGCCGAGGTGGACGACGTAGACGGTACACCGTCGCCCGAGAACAAATGACTGAAAAAGCCCGATAGACGGTTCGCAGCGCGGTTCTAGATGGCCGTCAGCTTCCGTTCGGTAAGAAGTAGGGAAGCACGGCCGTAAAGAGGAGGCATTCTCGGCTTCGGCACAGGGTCAGGACGCAAGCCACGCATGGATCTCTCAAACTGATTCGCGGAGCCAGAGGGAGGATCCGGAGATATTGAGGACGATGGGGCGCAGGGCTATTACACAGACAAGACAAGAGAGATGTGGACATGCCTTTACACGCGCGACTGTGCCTGTGTGGGTGGGGAGGAGGGAGTTGGAACGATGATGTACGCCCGGTGGACGAGACATGGGTGTGCGCGATGACGGACTGGGAGCGGGCGCCATCCCTGGACAAATTGGTATAAAGAAGAAGAAAGAGTGGTGATGCGGGATGTCGATAGCGCGAAACGAGAAACGAAAACGGATGCGGCGGCGCAGCGAATTGCGAATGCAGTTAGACTCTGCTCGACTCGGCCCGCTGCGCGCACTGCGCGCGCAACGATGCCCCTGGCCGTTGAGACAAGAGCGATCCACATGCGACGCAGGGTCAATATTGGGCGAGGGGGCGCGCGACAAGAGCAAGGGGCGGTCACATGACCTGCGGGGATATTGGCCTGGCAACGGCGGACGAGAGAGGGAGGATGGCGATGCGATCGAAGAGGAGGGTCATGCGTCATGGGCGCAAGACGGGAGCAGTATCACACTACGCCACGAAGGAGAGCACTAACCTCTTTCTTGATCTGACTCGCGCGACGACTCAACGCACTCGCGCCAGCTCGTTCACCCGACGAAGCGGGCGTCATGCTCCTCCTCGCACTCGCACCTGCGCCTGCGCCTGCGCCTGGACCCGAATTGGCGCTTGGAGTTGGCGACGAGCTTGTCACGCGCACGTCTGGCAACGGGCTCGCTAAGGGTGTTGTAGTTGGTGTTGGTACTGGCACTGCACGTCCCCCGAAGTTTGTATGGCACGCGGTGGCAGAAGCACGAGCAGGTGGCGGCAATGAATACAATCGTGAACGGAAGCACCAAACGTCAGCCCCACGCTCGTGCGCGCGCGCAGATAGCAAAACAGGGTACGCACACAAGGCGGCAGCAGCAGCGAGTGCAGCAAAAGCGCCGGTCTCGTCGCCGCGGGCATTTACATGGTCATCCGGATGACGCGTCGGACGCAACACCTCGTCCTCCATCCTCTTCTCTTCTAACGCCCGTCGATATTACTACTAACTCGTTTCTGCGTCCGAGCAACACCACCCCCCGCGCGTGTCAGCTCGCCGTACAAATCACATTGCCAACTCTGCACACCTACCCGCTCCACGCGTACTGGTACTTGTTTTTTCGTGGGTCTCGCCTTGGATGCCCGATGCGCCGAGTAGAGTAGGTCACAAGTGCAAAAACAAGACTCCGTCGGTCGTCAGGAAACGAGCCGTCTATATACGCGCGCGCGTTTGCCTAATTAATATTTGGAGGTTGCGCGTCGAATACGAAACGCGCGCGCAATAATGGAAAAGCGCGGGGGAATATACGAGGGACGGGGAGAGCAAAGGAGCAAGGGGGGGGAGCCAGAAACAGGAGCGCGGAGCCGGCTGTCGTGTGTCGGCCGGAACGGGCAAGGCACGGCGCGCGCATGCGCAACGAGCCACGCGGGTCACCCGCAAATCACCACTTGACGCTGGACACCTGTCAAATGCGGTGCCTCTGCTCGCGGGGTGGGATTGGTGGGCTGGGATTTTATAAACCATGCAAGCTCACTGTGTATATAGGGGCTGCTGCGTTCTTTGTGCTCAACACGCGCTCGGACGGATATTTTACACCATCACAATGACTTGATCCCTCACTGCAAAAATCAAATCAAATCAAGCTTTGCACGAAACGCTTCCGATCACACGACCCATCATCTCTGGGTCCAGCTTCTCACTCCCTAACTATCTGTGTGTGCATTCGACGCGTCGATCAATCTACGAATTAAACCTGACCGTCAATCTCTCCGCTTGAACGATGCTTCGCACTGAGGCGCGCGCGCGTAACCACCAGTCTCTCGTTGCCCCTGTCTCATTTGTGGCGACCCGCGTCGCAACCAGCTGTTGCCATCCGGAGCCTCCGGAGCTTTCAGTAGTACCTACTGACTAAATGCAGGATAGTGGATGGGGGTATGGTTGGACGGCGTGCTCGGGGGACTGACACTCGCACGACTTCCTTTATCATCGATCTCCGAGCTGGAGATACACGAATCTACTTTAAATAAGAGCGGGACTCAAAAGAGGCCAGAGCAAAATAACACTCGAGCGCCAAAAAAAAATCAACTGCACCTCGAGCCAATTTTCCCGAGTCTCTTGCGCATCGAGTGCTTTTCACTCTACTCAAATGCGGTGCCTCTGCTCGCGGGGCGGGGGCTGGGATTTTCTAAACCATGCAAAAGCTCACTGTGTATGCGCACTTCTCGGCGAGCTCATAGGGGCTGCTGCTGCGTTCCACCATTCTTTGTGCTCAACACGCACTCGGCTCCCGACGGGATATTTTACACCATTACTATGACTGATCCCTCCCACTGCAAAAAACAACACGAAACACTTCCGATCACGCGATCCATCAATCTCTGGGTCCAGCTTCTCACTCCCTAACTATCTGTGTGTGCATTCGACGCGTCGATCAATCTACGAATTAAACCTGACCGTCAATCTCTCCGCTTGAACGATGCTTCGCACTGAGGCGCGCGCGCGTAACCACCAGTCTCTCGTTGCCCCTTGTCTCATTGGTGGCGACCGGCGTCGCAACCAGCTGTTGCCATCCGGAAGGGGGTCCGGAGCTTTCAGTCATGGCCACCGGCCGAGAGTAATCTTTTGTGTATTGACTGATCCTAACTCTCTGCCTTATAACGTGCAGATAAAGAGGTACTACTGACTAAATGCAGGATAGCGAATGGGGGTATGGTTGCACGGCGTGATCGGGGACTGACACTCTCACGACCCGAGAACCAATCCCTCAACCCCATCTCCAACAGTGGCACGACTGGCTGGTCTAACGGAATGACGCTCCATTTATTCTACAAGGGTCCCGGAGCAGTGTGGGTTCGAATCCCGCGCTGGTTGACTTGATCTTTCTTCCTTTTTTTTTTTTTTTTTTTCGTTTACATGTAAGTGTGTGTCGGTGTCGGTGTCAGTGGTACCACGGCGCCATTTGGCCAGCCGAGACCACAGTGTCGGGGGTCATAAGTACCTATGGTATGATCAGCCATTTCCTGGTCCCAATTTAAAACAATCGCAAGCAAAAAAACACTCCCTGTCACGTTCTAAAATGTGACCTCACCAAAGTTTGTGGCGAGAAAACGATGAAGCGCAGGGTACCGACTCTATCTGCCAAAGACGTCCCTTTTTCCTCCAAGGTACGTGACTGAGCACGTTAATAACACTATTACGCGTTGCGTGCGGGGTTTCCTGAGTCAAGTTCAAGACGACAATGGGGATCTGAGGGGTTTTTCGGTGGCCAAAAATTGGCGCGCGTGCCACCTCGCCTTACCTCACCTGTGAACCAAAAGAATCCAAATCGACCAGCGCGGGATTCGAACCCACACTGCTCCGGGAGTGTTCAAATTTGAGAGTGGAGCGTCATGCCGTTAGACCAGCCAGTCGTGTTGAGGTTGCCGTTGAGGGACTGCTCATATCTAGCTCGAGCTAGCCGGGAACAATGGTGTGGGATGTAATTGTAACGTCAAACTTGACTCAAAAAGGTTTGAGCGAACTAGTAGTTGGGGGTTGAGGTCAGTCAATCATTATGTATTCGTGTAATGTCTCGGTAAAATGCTCCCGTGTGTCCCCTACGGAGCGTGATCCGCGCATCTGCAAACACAGATTTGCTCGCTGAAATGACAGTTATGGAAATAACCCTACTTCCAATAGCTCACTATGCATTTCGAAAAGCATTTCATACATTACAACTGCTTCAAGAGAGCTTCATGTTGCTGTTGCAGCTTGCATAGTCTACAGCATTGTGCCCTCTGTAAGCTCTCCCTCAGGTGCGCTTCCAACACGACCGGCTGGTCTAACGGCATGACGCTCCATCATTCAACGAAGTTCCGGAGTAGTGTGGGTTCGAATCCTGCGCTGGTCGACCATACATTTTTGCTCCGGTGTGGGTGGCACGCGCGCGATTTGGCCACCCGAAAGGCGATGAGACTTCCAGATCGCAAGCGCCTGGCAGCATGAACACTGATCGCGCTCAATTAGACACTCTCGCTCGAGAACAATTTGGGTGGTAGCCCGCTACCTAAAAGGCTGTTTCTCGGTCGTGAATGCGATAATGTCTTCTTTGCAGAGCAGAGCGCCAGCCACTTTCGTGTGCTTGGTTTGGCGTCGACCTACCCACAGTCGTCGTCATAAACCCCCAAAGCAGCCTGTTAATGTCATATTTTGTTCTCGAAACTGTAAAATAGCATCTGTATGTGTTTAAATGACTCTCTTGCTGCTACTCTGTGTTGAACTGCGAAGGGAGAAGAGCAACCATAAGTTGATATTCATCAGTATCTATGGGAATAGTACAAACCTGCGAAGGGAGAAGAGCAACCAGAGAATAACTCGGTGCTTCCCATCGCAGCTATATAGCCATCGGAATTTGCCGGGAAGGTGCATTTAGAGTCACGTAGAGTCATTGGACTACTCCGGGAACGTTTGGAAAGGTACGGAAGGGTCGAGAAGATTCCAGAATTCAACACTCCCCCTGAATCTCGAGAGTCGTTAGCCTTCGGAAGGCAAAATTCCTAGCATTCCTCTGAGGCGCGTGACGTCCGGACGCGCGAGAGGCTTGGTAAAGATATCCGCAATTTGATCTGCGGTTGGGACGAATATTGGTTCGAGACGTTTGCCATGGACTGTGTCGCGTAACCAGTAGAAGCGTAAGTCGAGATGTTTCATTCGGCCGTGGTGTTCAGGATTCTTGGAAACAGAGATAGCGCTTTGGTTGTCAATGTTCAACCTGGTAGGGTATTCAGGTATGATGCCGATTTCCGTAAGTAGGTTTCGCATCCAGATAGCGTCTTTTCCTGCGTCCACCGCTGCGATGTACTCTGCCTCAGTCGTTGATAGTGCGACTACTCCTTGTAGTTTAGACGACCAGGATACCGCTCCGCCCGCTATCATCAGCACGAAACCTCCAGTTGATCTGCCATTATCCGAGTTGCCTGCATGGTCTGCGTCTGTGAATGCTTCGAACAGGCGATCTATGCTGAACGAGTCTCGTCTGTATGTAAGCTTCATGTCCTTTGTTTGTTGGAGGTAGCGCATGAGATGCTTAACAGCGTTCCAATGGGCAATACCGGGGTTTGCTATGAATCGGCAAAGCGTGGAGACGGTGAAGGATATGTCTGGTCGAGTGGAGGTAGCGACGTATAGTAGTGCGCCAACCGCGTTTCCATACGGGTAGTTCGACATCTCTTCCTTTTCGTCGTCTGTGGTTGGGCAATCTTTACGTGATAGTTTTAACCCTGGGGCCATTGGGGTGGATACACCGTTGCAGCTTGTCATGCCAAAGCGCTCGAGTAGTTCGTTGATGTATTGGCGCTGTGAGAGTTCGACAATGCCTTTCTTCCTGTCTTGGTTGATTGCGATTCCGAGTAAGAATTTCGTGGGTCCAAGATCTCGAAGTGCGAAGTGGGTGGCAAGGCGGGTGATGATGCTATCGATAAGTTTGTCGCTGCTGGCTGCGAAGGTACCGTCGTCGACATGGAAAGGCAGTAGTGCGAAGTCATTGTCTTTCCTGTATACGAAGAACGATCCGTCGCAGTATATTGCTTTGAAATCGAGTTCGACAGTGAGCGTATGATGCAGTTTGATTTGCCATGCTCTAGCGCCTTGCTTTGTACCGTACAGTGCCTTGCGGAGCTTGAGCACCATGTTCTTTCCTCCCATGGTGAAACCTTCTGGCTGTGACATATAGACGTCTGCGTCGATGTCTCCATTGAGGAACGCATTGCTAATGTCGATGGAACGTAGTGAAAGGTTTAAACCGGCGGCGAGTGCTAAGACTGTGCGTATGGACGCCATCTTTGCTGTGGGAGCGAATGTTTCGAAGTAGTTGACACCATGCTGCTGTGTGAATCCGCGAGCGACTAATCTGGCTTTGTATCTTTCGATTGAGCCGTCTGATTTGCGTTTGATTTTGCAGACCCATTTACACCCAACTACTTTGGCGCCGTCTGGTTTCTCGACTAATTCCCAGGTTCCATTGCGCTCATGTGCTGCCATTTCCTCAGCGAAAGCTTCTGACCATTTGATTGAATCAGGGCGGGTAGCTGCTTCCTTGAAAGTGCGAGGTTCACCGACGTTGATATCGACGTTTGCAGTGAAGTATACTTGTTCCGTGTCGTAGTCTTCTTCGTCTAGAAGTTGTTCTACTTGGAGGAGTTGTTCTACTTCATCGTCAGAATCTTGGACGTGATGAGGATCGGCTAGTATGGGTCCATCGACTGGGGGTGCTGCTTGTAGAGGCTGATTTGCGTGCTCTGCAGGTTCCAGGGATGGTCCGCTGACTGGGGGTGCTGCTTGTAGAGGCTGATTTGCGTGCTCTGCAGGTTCCAGTGGTGTTCGTCTGGCGCGATCGGCTAGGGGGATTGCCAATCTCTAGGTTCGTGGCGTTCGCGTCCTGATCGGCGTGGTTCAGGTGCAGGAGGAGGCACGAGAGGAGTTGGTGGACGAGGAGGTGTTGTTGGCGCGGCTGGTCCGGTTGTGTTGGTTGTAGTGGGAACAGGTGTTGGAGTTATTCGTCGAGGCTGTTGGTCTTCAGAATCGCTGTCCCCCCCTGAATCCAATACTTGTGGAAAGTCGATAGACTCATGCCCTTTGTCTAGTTTGGACAGTGGGAAGAACCGTTCATCAAAGTCGACTCGCTCCGAGATGATGGTCTTCTTCGTGACTGGGTTCCATAATTTCCATCCCTTGTAGCCTGGTGGGTATCCGATGAACACGCAGGGCACCATGTGCCAGTCGAGTTTGTTGCGCTTGTCTCTCTGAATGTGGGCGTATGCGCGACATCCCCAAACTCGCAGGTGCTTCAGGTCGGGTTTGTCCTTGTACCAGTACTCGTATGGTGTTTTAGGTTCATCTTTACCAGTGAGCGATGATGATGGCATGCGGTTCCAGACGTGGATGAAGGATGCGAGAGCTTCTGCCCAGAAACTCTGTGGGAGTCCTGATTCTGCAAGTGCAGCGACGATCCCTTCTACCAGTGTTCTGTTGGCTCTTTCAGCAACACCGTTTTGTTGGGGTCGATTGCGAGTGGAGTCTCTCCTTTCTATGCCGCTGTCTCCGAGTAGTTTATCCCAGTCTTTTCCGATGAATTCTCCGCCTTCGTCGAATTGTACTGCTTTGATCTTCTTGCCAGTTTGCGTTTCCGCGAAGGCCTTGAAGCGTACGAACTCGTCGAAGGTATCTGACTTCTTCCTTAGAGGGAAGGCGGCGTGGAATGATGACTTGTCGTCGTGGAAAGCAACGAAGTATTTGTAGCCCGACACGGAAGCTGTGGGCATGGATACTATGTCGCCGTGCACTAGATCTAGTACTTCTTTCGTCTTGGTTCCGGTGGATTTGAAAGGATTCGAGTGCATTTTACCGGCGAGGCATGGTTCGCAAATAGGGTCGGGCTTTCGCTTGACGTCAAATTGGATTCCTGTGACCATATTTTCGCGCATGGCTTTCTCTATCCCTCCTATATGGTGATGCATGGTGCGTCTGTGCCATAAGGAGATGTCGAGAGGTAGTGATGCTCGATGGGCGAAGGCGATCTCTGAGTCTGGTCGCGCGGGCTTCATGTCTGCGTATCCAAGGTAATTGTCCCCAATAGTAGCAGTGAATCTAGTGGCGTCATTCAACGTGAACACCATCTTATTCTCTTTTGCGGTCAAGGTCATTCCTTTCTCTTTGACGAGGTAGTTGACGGAAATCAAATGACAATTGAGTGGTGGGACGTGCAGTACATTGGAAAAGGCTATTGGTTCTTTCTCGATACCATTTACAACTGGCGTGAATATGATTGTCCCTATTCCTTCTGCCAGCACGATGTTTCCATCGGCGACGCGGACTTGGGCATTTGACTTTTCATAGGTGGCAAAGAATTCTTTTGATGGCGTCATATGAGTAGAGGCGCCTGAATCTGCCAGCCATGATTGGTCAGTCACGAGTGTAGTGGATGTAGATAGAGCTACGCTTGCCGTGTGTGCAATGGGGCCAGATGAGTGCGTGACAAGAGCGGTGTGGTTGGCGGATTCGCTGCTGCTCTTGAGCTTAAGCGCGGCTATTTCGTCCTTCAGGGCCTTCTCTTTCTTTTCGAAGCAGTTCGTGTCCTTGTGACCTGTCTTGTCGCAGAACGCGCACTTGGGTTTGTCCTTTTGACGACAGACTTCGGCAGTGTGGCCAAGTTTGTTGCAAATCGAGCACTTCACCTTGGTCGTGGTCGATGCAGCGGCAGCAGTGGTGGTCGGCGTGGTTTCAGCCATGAGGACGCCAGCGGAGGTTCTCTTTAAGCCGTAGAGGCCTGGGGATGTCTTCCGGTTCAGGTCTTCAGCGACGAGTCTGTCCTCAAGTTTGTCGAGGTCTAGGAGCGTCGATTCGTCTCCGAGTAACCCGTTTACAAGGGTAGCATTGACTTTGTCTTCAGAGAGAGCCCGGACGACGGTGATGGAGATCATCTCATTGTCTAGTTTGTCGATGGTATAACCTGATTCGCGGCGTTGCTTGATATGGTTCATTGCGTCCTTGACTCTGGCTATGAATGCTCCGAGTTCCTCGCCAGGATTGGGGCGCATGGCTGAGAAATCAACGTATGCGTTGTAGCGCGATGCTGCTTTAACAACGATGTGACGTTTCTTTATTGCGGCCCAGAGCGCGACGCCGTCCATGAGATGTGTTTCCACGGCTCGTTTCTCCTCGATTGACAGAGTAAGTGCGATTGCACCTGCTGCTGCGCCATTGTCGTCGGTCCAAGTTTCGAGTAGATCCTCTTGCTTGGCAATGAGTTCGTTCTCGGCTTTGAGTGCGTCGTCCTTGAGCGCAGGATGGGCCCTAGCTGGTACGACTGGTTTCGCCTTTTCTCCTAGGATGATGCGTAGCCATTTCTTCAGGAGCAGGTATGATTTGATGTCCTGTTCCCAGGCTGCGTAGCCTCCCATCTTCAGGGGCGTGATCTTGAATAACGTGCTATCGCTCATGTTGAGGGCAGGCGAGGGCAGGTTTACTTCTTTGCTTCAACTCGTGTTGCAACAGAAGGGGAATTGAAAGCTTTACTTCCTTGTTGGCTAAGGAAGGGGGTCTGAAGGTGCGGGATGCGCACTACACAGCAGCACGAATCGCACGAGCTGCTCGCCTATACCCGCGTTTCGCTCGGATGAGCTAACTTCAGGGCCTAAGGTTTGCCGATTACTCGTCAGGTACTCCCACTTATCAGGGAGTAAGGAAAGCGGGTAGAGGGTACAAAATAGAGGCTCGATGTGGGTCCAATCGCTCGGGATTGGTCTGCTCACTCAACTGGGGGCGATCAAGCACGGAATTTGTCGATCGGAGAACGCTGAGTGATAGATCTTGAATTGGCGAAAGGGAGATGTGGGTTGCAGGTGGATCTGATGGAGATCCGTTCGGGATCGAGGTATTGCGCGTGGTGGTGTGTCTGGGTATTTACACCTTGAGCGCGGGGCTCATAACCTGTTGAACTGCGAAGGGAGAAGAGCAACCATAAGTTGATATTCATCAGTATCTATGGGAATAGTACAAACCTGCGAAGGGAGAAGAGCAACCAGAGAATAACTCGGTGCTTCCCATCGCAGCTATATAGCCATCGGAATTTGCCGGGAAGGTGCATTTAGAGTCACGTAGAGTCATTGGACTACTCCGGGAACGTTTGGAAAGGTACGGAAGGGTCGAGAAGATTCCAGAATTCAACACTCTGTGGCCATCTGGACGGGTATTGCTTCCCTTCTCATTGCGTGCAACCCGTAAAGTACATGACCGAGATAAACAACTCGTTTCTCAAATTCTCATTAAATAATTTACCTTCTACTTGAAGAGATGAAATTTGGGTAGGGAAGTTGACTAGCCGGCTGTGCTGAGAAGCTGGCGTGGGCATGCGAGCCCATGCCCCGGGCATGATTAGCCGACCACCCCAACTGTACCTAGCATAAATCTCCATCAATGGGGCAAAATTTATGCTCATATACACTACTATCGAACCACTCGAATGGACCACACGCCGCCGCCGCTAAATTTCTTAGCAAGTTCAGTATTGATGCGCCTACATAGACAGTCGATCATCGGCCTAATGCTGTCTTGACATAGCAGGGTACAATAGCAGGAGATGTTTCATTGGGTTAAAAGCCACCATGATGGTTCCCCGCGGCCTGATGGGACCGCCGCAAGGTACGTCCTCAACACGACCGGCTGGTCTAACGGCATGACGCTCCATTTCAATGGCTACATTACCCCGGAGCAGTGTGGGTTCGAGTCCCGCGCTGGTCTAATGGTGATTAAACCTTTTTTTCACGAAGTATCATATTTGGTCCACAAGCGACGACGAGACTTCAGTTCCGCGTCGCGAGCTTGAAGCACCGGCCGCTATAGACACTAACTGCGCTCCGATGAACTCGCACCTGCATCGAAAGAGTGAGCTTCATTCACTTCCTCCTATGCTGATAGGGTCAGAGTATGGGCAGGAGCCTGAGTATAGAAGCTGGACGGCGATCGCACGCCACCCGGCGCTGATTCCCTGGGACCATTCCATGACGGCTAGCACCACTTCGTGAACTCTCAGACGTTGTTGGGCGCTCGTTGGAGCGACTGGAAATTGGGGCCGGCGAGACTGTGCTAGAAATGCGAGGGACAGTGCAGATATTTTCCCTGACCTATGGGCCACCAATAAGAGGCCGTTCAACCGGTAAAGAGCTCAAATCCATTCCGAACCTGATACTAACACTAAATTAGGTGCCGTGTTTTTCTATCACCCGCTCTCACCGAGGGTGCTGATGTTGGTGTGCTGAAGATTCGGCTCCCTTCATTATTTTATGTGGCGCGGTGGAAAACTAGTTGCTCCGCGACAGAAATACCCAATTACATCGATTGAAGGTATTAGCTGTTGATTAAGCCAAGATACCAAGAGACAATGCGACGGACTCCAGTCGCAGGCACCGTGGCATTATAGGAGAAAGTCCCCCCCCCTGCACTGCCGCTGCATCGTCCTAATCGTATTTCCAACATTTTAAATCCTCTTCAAATATATGCGCTCTAGGGCAGCGATTGGACGGACGAGAGTCTCATACTACCTATATAGTAACCACCAGGTACGTGCACTAACGCGACCGGCTGGTCTAATGGAGTGACGCTCCATTCATCAGAAGTTCTTCCGGAGCAGAGTGGATTCAAATCCCACGCCGTTCGAGTGTATATTTTGCTTGCGATGAAGTGGCACGCGGGGTAGTTGGCTACCCAAACAGTGAGCTCGCGTGCAAGCGCAGGCCGTCCCTGGGGCCGTTCGCCAGAGGATGTCATACAAGATGACGCGGGTCAAAATTTGATCATCTGGTGCCGGTATTTCAAATGAAACTACATGGACGTGAACGCGAGGGTTGGCATTGGTAAGCTATTGGTACGCACGTCGCAACCCCTAGCTGCGATTGCGTTTCACAAGGATCATGAACCTCACATAATCCGCGGACCAAGTTGGGAAAACTACCGCTCAGTTCTGAACGTACAGAAGAGCCAGCCGAGCAACCACGCGCCGATATTACCGCTCACTCAAACTGTCCTATGAAGGATCCCTCAAACCCCAAGTCCGATTCCACACGGCCGGCTGGTCTAACGGAATGACGCTCCTTTTTCTCATATGGGCCCGGAGCAGTGTGGGTTCGAATCCCGCGCTGGTCGAGTTTGTCTTTTTTCACGTGTAAGGGTATTATGTCAGTGTCGGTGGCAGTGGCAACACCCGCGCCGAAACCAAAGCCTCTAGGTCACCAGCACTTATCATCTTAAATACTTATTTTGCGCCCCTGATAGTTTTTAATTCGTTTCTTTGTTTTAGATTATGTTTCATATTTCCTCATCAGCACGCTCAGAGTGAGAAAGAGCAGGATTCCAAGTTGGTACACTATTCAGACCAGTCGGACGCGCTGAGAACTGTTTGCAATAATGATGCACAGTGTGATCAGCCAATTTTTGGTCTCATATTTCAATCACATGCATTCCACACTGTGGGCTCACCAAGTATGTACTGTATGAGAGAATGATGAAGCGCAGGGTACCGACTATCATCGAAAGATGTCCCTTTCCTTCAAGATAAATGACTGAGCACTTCAAGAAACTTCCTGCGTGTTGCGTGCGGTCGTCCTAAGTGTAGTTGACGACAATGAGATCTGAGGGTCTTCGGTGGCCAAATTGGCGCGCGTGCCACCCCCCCTCACCTCACCTCATCTCACCTGTGAATGAAAAAGATTCAATCGACCAGCGCGGGATTCGAACCCACACTACTCCGGAAGTTTACGATTGAGAGTGGAGCGTCATTCCGTTAGACCAGCCGGTCGTGTTGAGGATGCGGTTGACGGACAGCTCATATCTATCAAAGTATGCGAAGCCCGTGTACCGGGTATGATCAGCCCGATCATTCCATCTATAGCTCGCACTGCTATCCGCTACTACAGCGAGATCGACACATATACGCTGCCAGCAAATCCACTCGAATGGACCACATGCCCCGCGGCCGTTGGGTTTCTCAGCAAGGTTCAGTATCGATCGGCCTTCATAGATGAGCAGGTCGCATATGCGCAATCAATCTCCGGTCTAATGCTGTATCGACCGACGATAATATAGAGGGGTTCAACCATAGGAGATTTTAATCCAACCATGATGGTCCCCGCGGCCTGATGAAACCGCGTAAAGTACGTCTTCACCACGACCGGCTGGTCTAACGGCATGACGCTCCATTTCAATGGCTACATTAACCCGGAGCAGTGTGGGTTTGACTCCCGCGCTGGTCGAATAATGTCGAGCACAGGCTTACAGGGGGACTCGGGAGACTGGCCGGCGCGGGCGCGTTCGAGACCTTTGGCGACTATCGTCATGTCGTCGACGTACGCTGGTATTATAACGCGCGCGTCGTCCGACCGTTTGTAGACCCATACGCTGTTGTCCGATTGGACGACCTTGAAGCCCATGGAGGTGAGTACTTCATCCAGTTTGATGTGCCATTGGCGTCCGGCTTGCTTAATGCCGTATAGAGACTTGCCCAGTTTTTCGACGCAGCCCTTTTCGCGTTCCATACCCTCGGGAAGCCGCATGTATATGTCTTCGTCAATGTCACCATTCAGGTAAGCCGATGAGATGTCGACGCTGATCATTTCCAGGTCTTCGATGGCGGCGATTGCGAAGATTGCCCTCAGTGCAGCCCAACGCGGCGTCGGCGCAAACGTCTCCGTATAGTCGAAGCCGGGTCGCTGCCTGTCGCCTCTGGCCACCAACCTGGCTTTCACGCGTTCCATTTCGCCTTTCTCGTTCCGCTTGATCTTGAAGACCCACTTGCTTCCTATGGCGCGCGCCCCCTCGGGCAGGTGGACCGTCTTGATGGTACCAGTCCTGATGAGCGCATTTAGTTCTTCGTGAGCTGCCTTTTTGTAAGCTTCAGCTTCTGTCACCGGTCGTCGCTCAGCTTCGCGAAGGCTCTTAGGTTCGGAACCGATGGCAAACAGCGGAGTGGTCCTCTTCGCGGCGGCAGAGGCGAACGCAAATTCCAAGGCGTCGTCCCAGTCGGCATACTCCCATCCTTCCGAGATGAAGCTGACGCCAGCTAGCATCGCGCGTTGCATATTCGTATCGTCGAAGAGGTTCTCGTCCGAGGGAGCTGGACTCAACTCGCGCGCGAATGCGGCCGACGGATACGATGTCGACTTCCGTAGGTCGGGCTCTCTCAGCGAGCCCCTGAACTTGTTCGACCGGCTGGAGCAGCGGAGAGGATTCTGCGGTGTGGCGGGAGGTGCGAGTGGTGGAGTTGGCGGTGGAGCAGGTGGAGATGGAGGCGGGGTGGCAGGGCGTGTCGGAGGCGTCGCTGGACGTTCGGGACGGGCGTCGTCTTCAGGGGCATCGTCGTCGTCCTCGAACAGCGTTACCTGGGTTGACTTCCCAGCGGAGTCAGTGTCGGGGAGGTCGTTCAGGTGCACAGGCGTCAGTTGAGTGCCCGGGAATACTTCCTCGTCGAACACAGCTTGCGAAGATTCGAAGAGCTTACACTTTCCAGGGTCGTAGAACAACCAGCAGCCCGGGTGCAAGGTGGAGTAGCCCAAGAATATGCACTTTGCATAGTGAGGGTCGAATGGGCCGCGGCGGTCGGCGGGGATCAAAGCGTACGCGAGGCATCCGAATATCCTGGCTTTGCTGAGGTCCGGCTTGCGTTTCTTCCACAGATGGTGAGGGGTCGTATCGTCCGCAAGGCTAGAGTGCTCAACCCGGTTTTTGATCCAGATGTAGGCTGCTACGGCGTAGATCCAGAACGTCTTCGGCAGTCGTGCTTCACACAGCCAGCATAATTAAAAGTACAACCTGTAACTGTTGCCCACATTAGCTCATAGATGAGGATAATAACTAGTATATTTCTGGGAACTAATCTGAGGCAAAAAACAGCCAATATTCTGCTGATCACTGCCTAAGCCGGCAGTGAATTGCCACTCACAACCTATACAGGCAGGGATTGGCCATTTATTGGTTGTTTCTTGCCTCAGATTAGTTCCCAGAAATATACTAGTTATTATCCTCATCTATGAACTAATGTGGGCAACAGTTACAGGTTGTACTTTTAATTATGCTGGCTGTGTCATTCAGCAGAGCCGTCGCCCCCTCCTCGGTGTCGCGATGTGCACGCTCGGCTACGCCATTTTGGTAAGGCTCCTTCCTCTCCGCGCACTTCGCCTCAATACCCCGCTCACGCAGGTACGAAAACACGGCCTTGTTAACAAACTCAGAGCCCAGGTCGTAGTGCATGATCTTCACGCGCTCCCCGGTTTGCGCTTCGGCCCAAGGTATGTAACTCTTCAATGCATCCACGAAGTCCGACTTATTCTTCAGGAAGAACTCGCGACGCCATCGAGACATGTCGTCAATGAAGATTACCCAGTACTTGTGCCCACTCAACGATGGTGGCAGCGGTCCCTTGAGGTCGGCGTGAACTTGACCTAGGAGGCGGTCTTCGCGTCTTGCAGGGCCGCGGGGTACGTTGTGCCGATGCATCTTTCCGGCGAGACAGGGCTCACACTTGCTCGAGAGTTTTCCAACGATCTTCAGGCCTGTTGCTGTACCACGCTTGTGCATCTCCGAAATCATACTAGTGTTGACGTGTGCAAGCCGTCGGTGCTAGAGGTTGAGGTCGAGGGAAGTCGTGGTGGCCGCGTTGGCCGTGTGAGAGTGGCTGACAGTTGTCCCGTCAAGCAGTCCTACGTTGCTCCGCACCGTGGCCGTAAACACTGTCCTGCCGTTCTTCAAGAACTTGAGGCGGTCCTGTTTTCTGTGAAGCTCGATGTCACGCTTGGTCATGGAAGTGAAAACAGAGAATAAATTGACGGCGAGGTCGGGGACATGCAGTACATCGTCGAAGACCACCGGCGCGCTGACAACCCCATCAATCTTTGGAACGAATACGACTGATCCCACACCTGCGGAGTGAATTATGTGGCCATCCGCGAGGCCGATTGCAACGCGGTGGGGGAGATATGAGCGGAACCAGTGCCGGTTGGCCGTCATGTGCGAAGTGCAGCCTGTGTCCGTGTTCCAGTTAGTGCTGTTCTGACTGCGACCGGCGAGCTGTGCGAGGTGCTCGCGCGACGCGAACACGAAGTGGCGTACATCGACGGTGAGACCTGCGAATTGGGCAGTTTCCTCGGTGATGTGCGCTTCTTGGCGGGTTGACTTCCACGGTGCGGGTTTGCCATTGCGCGGGTTGGACTTATTGAACTCCTCGCGTTCGGCCTTGCAGCGCTCGCGAACTTCGTCGACCTTGCGGCAGGCATCCGTGGTGTGATGGCGGGATCCGCAGAAGTAGCAGTTTTTGAGGTCGCACTGCTCGTGGAAGGTCTTCAGTCCGGCGGCAATGGTCTTGGGCTTGCCCGAAGCACTGCTTTCCGACTTTTTCTCCTTCTTCACGTAGAGTGCGTTGTCTTCGCCCTTGATGCCCTTCTCGTCGTCGTGGCGGCGCAGCACAATCTGAACGTCGTTCATGTCGAGGTCGTTTCGGCCGGCCTTGGCGTTGAGTCCGTCAACGATGTTGTCGTGGCCAGCGCGGCGGAGCGCTTTGACGAGGCATGAGATGTTGAATTCGATGTCCTCCATGGCGAGTGTGAAGCCAGGTGGCCGAGCGACGATGCGCTGGCGCGCAATGCGAAGGTTTCGGTCGTACAACTGTGAAAGTGTCTCGTCGGGCTCCTTCGTCAGATCCATCTGCTCTTCGCGGTAGACGAAATGCAGACCAGGGCGATTTCCGCCGTACTTGAGCTTGACTGCGTCGAACAGAGCAATAGGGTCGCCGTTCTCATACTCGTCTGCAAAGTCGATTTTGTACGGGTGCCCGATACACTGGTAGAGCGTGGCACAGCACTTCGCGCGACCGTCCACCCATGACTCGACGTCCTTGTGCGTGACCGTGCCGAGGGTGCGACTGTCGGTATGACGTTGAGCGGGTTGAGGTACTTGCGGATGCCTTTTGCGTCGAGCACGGAGAACATGTCGGTCTTCCATTCATTGTAGTTCTTGTCGCTTAACGCGTGGCAGCCGGTGACGGTGGTGGGCGTAGAGTCATTCTCGGCCATCGTGTGTGGGGGGAGAGAGAGATGCAATGGCTGTCGGCGTGGGACACGACAGGGGTCAATTGCGTTAAACGTGGACCGTCTGCACGCTTCTCGGCTTCAGGTGTCTGTGCGCGCCGTTAGAGTTTGGCGCGCAGTGGCTGAGCCGGTGATGCGACGGATGGGGAAGCGGTTTGCCTCTGAGATGCTTCGTTTACGTGTTCAGCTGTCGTGTGTCGTCCCAAGCTGCCCGGGGCTCATAACCTGTCGAGCACAGGCTTACAGGGGGACTCGGGAGACTGGCGCGAGAGCGTATGTGTGAGAAGCGATGTTATTAGGTATCTAATACACAGAGCGTACCTGGCGCGAGAGCGTATGCGTGAGAAGCGATAAGCTTCCGAATAGCTCCGCGCCGGCAGCAAAAGGCATACAGTCACGTGACACGTGTCGAGGCAACATCCACTGACAAATAATGATTAGACCTTTTGTTCACCAAGTATTCTATTTGATCATACAAACGACGACGAGACTTCCGTGTCGAGAGCTTGAGGCACCGGCCACCATAGACGCAAGCTGCGCTCTTATGAACTCCCATCTGCATTGAAAGAGTGGACCTCATCTACATACCCCTATGCTGATATTGTTGGAGTATGGGCATAAGCCTGAGTTTAGAAGCTGGACAGCGGTCGGACACCACCCGGCGCTGATTCCCTAGAACCTTTTTATGCCGGCTGGCGCAGCTTCGTTAAATCTTAGGCGCTGTTGGACGGCCACTGGAGCGACTAGAAATTTGGGCAGGCGAAACCGTGCTGGACATGCGAGGGAGAGTGCAGATCACCCCTCCCTGATCTATGGGCTACTATTAGGAGGCCAGTCAACCGGTATAGGGCTCGAATCCATCCCCTCCCTCCCGAACCTGATACTGACACTGAATTGAGTACCCTGTCTATATATCATCCGCTCTCACTGAGAGTGCTGGTGATGGTGTGCCGAAGATTCGGCTCCCCTTCACATTTCCTGTGGCGCCGCGGAGAACTGGTTGCTCTGCGACAGAATTACACAATTACATCCATCGAAGTTATTAGCTATTGGTTGAGCTAAGATACACAAAGAGACAATGCGACGGCTTCCAGTCGCAGGCACATTATAGCAAGGTCCTAATCGCATTTCCAACTTTTGGAGACTATTCAAATATATGCGCTCTAGGGCAGCGTTTGGAGAGACGAGAGACTCATACTACTTATATAGTAACCATCAGATACGTGCCTAACACGACCGGCTGGTCTAATGGCATGACGCTCCATTCATCAGAAGCTCTTCCGGAGCAGTGTGGGTTCAAATCCCGCGCCGGTCGAGTATGTATTTTGCTCGCGGTGAAGTGGCAAGTGGGTAATTGGCCGCCCAAACAGCGAGGCATCACGAGTGCAGGCACAGGCCATCCCTGGGGTCCTTAAACGTCTTCAGAGGGTACATTATCAACTTCTACTTCTTTTAATTGCGCTAGCAGTGAGTTCGCTGATTAGGAGGAACAAACGAAGAAATGTTTAACCTCTGACACGACCAAAGGGCCCTGATATCTCGGTCCGAAATACCGTAGGCAGAGCGGGTGTATTCCGCCGCTGCCATGGAATACACCCCGCTCCGCGCGGAATACACCCGCTCCGCCTACGATATTTCGGACCGAGATATCAGGGCCCTTTGGTCGTGTGAGGGGCTATCACTTGGCTGAACCCCTGGCTGCGAGAAGAGTCAACAGTCGAGCGAGCGATGAAGTGCAAAGAGAAATAGCTAGCAGACCCGTACGATGCGGCAGTCTACATTCTCCAGTATCATAAACGTTGGTTGATGACTTGAATGGATGATTCTGCTGACTACCGAAAGAATATAGTTGCTGTGCTGACTCTTCTGGACGTTCAGATCTGAGCCATGGTTTTCCTAACTTGGTCTGCGGATCATGTGTGGTTCATGATCGTTGTGAAACGCAGCAGCAGCTAGGGATTGCGACGTGCTTACCAATGGCTTACCAATGCCAACCCTCGCGGTCACCTCCATGTAATTTCTACTCGAAATGGACCGAAATTTGACTTATGTCATCGGGTATGACATCCTCTGGCGAACCCGAAATTACCGGTCCATTGCCGGCGCTTTCCGTGACCGCGTCCCGGCCTCTGCTTCTCACAATGTTGAAGCAAACGCACCTCGCGGACATTCATTAAATGCCATCCCGCCGTTCCAGACCAGTTCCGCGCGGCAGCCAAATCAAGAACTCGCTCACTGCAATGTTTGGCGTCATCTCCATGGTCGTTGCACAATTGTGCTGACACCATCGCAGCGGCCGCCGTCCATCACCCGCCTGTGCCATGCGTACAAACTAACCAAATATGACGGAGATTTTCGTCTGATTAATGCGCAGGACTCCCACTCGTGTCCTGCGCGCGTATAAAAGCGCAGCCCAGGGTGCATCACATCCTTCACTGCACATAAACCTCGCGCCAATACTACTTCACAATGTTCAACTTCAAGTCTCTTCTCGTCGTGCTCGTCGGCCTTGCCGTGACCGTGTCGGCGCACGACGGCATTACGCAGAAATTCGCACCCGTCTCGCCGGCAAGCCTCATGAAGGGTGAGCCGACTGGCACAATGGTCAAAATCGGCGGCGTCGACACGTACGTCGCGCGCCCGCCTCATATCAAGAAAGGGTGCAAGGAGGCGATTCTCTTCCTCACCGTGCGTCTCGTTCCCAACGATGAATACTGGTTGGCGTGCTTACTTCTTTGCATGTTCAGGACATCTTTGGCCTTCCTCTTCCCAACAACAAGCTCTTGGTACGAGCCCGATGAAGCCTATACGGACGATGTGAAGGAGCTGACCAATCTGTTCAGGCTGATCGCTTCGCGCGGGAGACGTCGCTCCCCGTCTACGTGCCAGACTACCTGAACGGTACGGTGTACCTTGCCATCGTTTTGATGCCATGAGTTAAGACTTGTCTTGAATTCAGGCGACCCTATCCCGTACAATGCAACCACCATTGACCTCACGGAATGGCTTCCTCGCCATGGAGGTACGCGGCCACATGCATTTCAATCAACATACGTCTCACCAAGACTCTATACTTCCAGAGGACGTGACATCTCCGTTGATCCTCTCCGTCATTGGCGGCCTGAATCAGCAGGGTGTCAAGACGTTTGCGACAACTGCGGTACGTGGCTGGTTCCTCTTGTATCTTGGGGTCGTTCATCGTGATAGATTTGTGCTGACTGACGGCGCTCGCTCTAGTACTGCTTCGGTGGTTTGTATGCTATGCGCCTTGCCCAGAACAACACGGTCGCCGTCAGCGTCTCGGCGCACCCGTCGTTCCTGACGTATGTCGCATCGTTGCATTCTCAGCCGGTTTGATACCATTACTCATCCTGTTTGCAGGGTTCCCGAGGACTTTGAGACCCTCCAGGCGAAGAGCAAGGTCCCCATCCAGATCCACTCTGCTGAGCTTGACAGTGCGTTTATGCTTTTCCTCCGTTAGAACACCCTTGCTGAGACGTGCTTTCCTTTTCAGCCGGGTTCACGCCTGCGATCGCAGCCATCGCAGACGGCGTGATGAACGGCACGACTACCGAGAACACTAAGCGTTACAAGCCAGGTTATATGCGTTACGCGCACGCCGGTATGGTGCACGGGTTCGCCGTTCGTCCCGCTAATGCCGTAAGCTCCTGCTTCAAATCGCGAGTAGACGCAGCGCAACTGACTCTCGCCGTTTCTTACAGTCTGACCCTGTCGAAGTCGCGGAACTCGACGCCGCCTTCTACGCGACCGTCAAGGCCATCAAAACCTATCTGTGACCGAACACGTGCATGCTGCAACGATAATCTGCTTGACAAGTGGCTGTCTAATCTTTCGTCAACACTGTGACGCGACTGATCTTGTACATGCTGTATCGCAATTTAGAAGTGACTCGGACTTCGAAACAACTGTTTGCGGCGCATAGCTGTACATGAGCTCCTCTCAACCCCATAATCCTCTTGCAGAATCGATGTTGTGCTGTGGAAATGGCTCACTGAAACTGGACCAGGAAGCTGTCTGCCTTGCCGTACTGGAAACAGATGGGACATTTTCGATGGCTTTTGGCGGCATGGTGTCTGTGCTGGCGATCTCCGTGGTTCCTACGGGAGGCATGTGAAAGAAATGCCGCCAACCCCTTGTTGATGTTGTCGCTGGTCTTGCTAACGTTATTCGAGCCCATGCCGACCGCAGGAACTCCGTGCTGCTTTTGACCTGTTGGTCTACGTGTAGCTTGGGAAGCTTTGCGTGATATCGGCTGAGAACTCTGAGTTGAATCAGGAGCCCCAAAGAAGGCCTTGACCAGGGACGGCCGAATACCATCCATGCTTCCATCCGTGGAGCTGATGACACTGCCATGATCGTCGGACATGCCCCCCGGTGATCGGAGTTGACACATGCCTTGCCAAACCTCGGCTTCAAACGGGATTGCTACACCCTTTTATCAGAACGCTCTTCTTTGTTTCTCGCACTCTCTACTTGTGCCCATCCGTAAAGTCATTCACAGCACCTCAACTTAGTATGGTAGAGGCTGCAAGGTGCGGCGTTTGTTCTTACCGCCATTGAACTACCACCCAATGCAGCTCAGTAGTTCAACATATTGCATGAATTATGGATCGGATGAAGGGCAAACGCAGCCTATCTCATCGCCGGTCGGTCGACTGCCACCAGAGCTACTGTGTGGCTGCTTCCGACAGTCGTCCAACCTGGACCTACAAGATATTGTGTCCGCCTCGCACGTTTCACAATACTGGCGCGCTGTCACGCTCTCAGAACCGCGACTTTGGGCGGTTCTGAGGCTAGTCAAACGGCCGTGCGAGGTCCTCTGTGTCGACCCCGAGCTCATCGCACGCTCGGCATCCGTACCACTCAGCGTATCCCTCATTGTGGACGTTGGGGATATGTGCTGGCACAACGATGATTGCTACTCTCTCACCGAATCTGTCAGACCATTCTGGCATCGGGTGCATGACGTCGAGGTGACGTTCAACGGGTACCACGACGAGAGCTTAGAACGCTATCAGGCGCGGTTCTCGTTTCTCGAACTTCCCGCGCCGCTCCTGAAGAGCCTGTATATTATCGACGAAGTGGAGTTGGACAAATCGCTCGAGGTACCGCAGCTGTGAATTTTCTGTACAGCATACCGAAAACTTTCTCGGAGGCGAAACGGCGCTGTCCCACCTCGAGATGGAGCGGTGTGCTGTAATCTTTCCGCCATTGTGCCCAGCACTGCACGGTCTTCACACGCTCAGCTGCCGGATTCAAGCCCAGAGCTCCGTTTCAGAGCGTTTGGCAACACTCTGTCCGAATATCGACCATCTCAAGCTCTTCCATAACGAGAAAGCTGACCCGTTGCCATTTCACGGTCCACCTCTAGCCAGTCTTCAACACCTAACTTTCTATGGTACATCCGGAGAAAGCGCGTATCATCTATCGACAATATTTGAGCGGGTAGCAGACCTGCCTCCTTGACGTTTATTGACCTAAATGGTCTCGTGTGGCAACAGACCAATGTCGATTTCTTACAACACGGCCGAACCATAACTAGGCTGGATATCGACAATGCCCTTGTTTACAAAGGACAGTTTCATACTCAATATGAAACCGGTACTCTATCCCTCGAGGATGATGAGACTGGTCGCTGTCTTATTGTCAGTGACTCCGTGGGGTTCGACAGCGAGCGTATGTCGATGCAAGACCTCCTTAGGGCGATCCCTTCATACCACCATATTCGCGAGCTACGAATCGGATATTACATCTTGCTGCATTTTCTCGAATTCAACGGAGTTTTGGATGCACTGGAACACATCACAATTTTCATTCCGAATCGATCACGAGCGGTCGAGTGGCGTAACATGCATCGCGGCCCGCGCGATCTGCTCGTTCTCCTCGATCATCGCCGTCGCGAGGCCAGCCGTGGCACTGGCCGTCGTGCTTTCGGACCCGGTGATCTTCATATTCGAGGTTCAAGGCCATCTTGGCGCACATGGCGTGAGCACTACGACTGGCCCCGGATTGCTGCAGTTCTCCCCTTACTCGAGGAGGTGTCAATCATCGCCAGACAGTCTGAAATGGAAGGTCTTGGTCCGACTCCAGACGATGGTCCTACAACATTCATACACGTTGCAGATCTATCCGTACTTGTGAGGTATGGGCTTGCGGCCGCGTTTCGGCCGCTCAAGCGTCTGCATGTGTATGGGATCAACATTGTCGAGCGTGAGGATCAACTCGGAACAGTCCATGCCATCAGATCGTTGGCAGAGGATGTCACTCTGCAAAATGTAGTCTTTGGAGTAGGTA